CAGGAAATACCGAACAAAACCCGAGAGGAGCTCACATTCAAGCCATCACCACTAGAAGCGGAAAAATAATTACTCCTTTAACTTCTATTGACAGAAACACACTAGAGGCGGAGCAGGAAGTTCAAGAGGAAAGTACAGAAAAGGAGTCTGGGCAATCACCACGACGTGGTGATAATACCACGGCGTGGCAAGAAGCTGAAAAGAAAGCTGCATAACCTGTAAAGACATATCGTCCACCACTGCCTTTTCCCAGTAGGGTTATTCAAGAGAAGCAGGCTGAAGATTACCGGAGGTTTCTAGAACACATAAAATCTCTCGAAATCAACATTCCTTTCTTTGAAGCTTTAGTTGAAATGCCAAAATATGCCAAGTTTCTCAAGGACTTGTTAACAAACCGCAAGAAGATGGAGGGGTTATCAAAGGTAGTATTAAATGAAACTTGTTCTGCAGCAATGCTAAATATGCTACCAAAGAAGATGGGAGATCCAGGAAGCATAACCTTGCCATGCCAATTCAGGAATCTAGCAACAAGTCATGCTCTTGCTAACTCGGGAGCAAGTGTCAACTTAATACCCTATTCGTTCTTCAAGAAGCTCGATCTTTCCGATCCAAGACCGGTTCGCATGGTTATCCATTTAGCCAATAAAACTATGACGTTTCCAAGGAGTATTTGTGAAGATTTGCTAGTGAAAGTAGATAACTTCGTTTTTCCCGCAGATTTTATTGTGTTGGATATGGAGGAAGACGAGCAAGTCCCAATCATACTTGGAAGGCCATTTTTGAGTACCGCCCGAGCTTTAGTTGATATAAGAGAGTCCAAGCTTACTCTACGAGTTGGAGAAGAAGCGGTTACTTTTGGAGTTAATCGGGCAATCAAACATTCAAGGATGAGTGATGATACGGCGTTTTCAGTTGATGTGTTGGATGAAGTACTTGAAAAAGAGCTAGCACGATGGAAAGAAAAAGAAACTGAGGGATTTATGGTGCTTGAGCAAGGAAATTTTGATCCCGAACTCGACCTACAATAATTGGAGAAGCTATTGGAAGAAGGTGAGTATAAGGAAGCAATGAAAGAGACAGAAGAGGCAACACGACATGATAAAGATACCACCGCGTGGCAAAGTTTTTTTATCGCAACATGGGATTAAAAGTTGCGACACCACAACGTGGAAAAATGCCCACGTCATGGTAACTGACAAACAGCCAAAAATTGAGCTCAAGGCCCTCCCCGAACACCTAGAGTATGCATTCTTGGAAGAAGAACAACAAAAGCCAGTAATCATTGCCTCCGATCTAGCAAAACACGAGAAAGAAAGCCTAGTCAAGGTTCTAAAGAAAAGACAAAGTGCCATAGCATGGAAGATCACTGACATCAAGGGAATTAGTCCAGCCTATTGTTCTCATAAGATCAATCTAGAAGAATGAGCTAAACCCATAGTGCAACGCCAAAGAAGACTCAACCCAAATATGCAAGAAGTAGTTAAAAAAGAGGTGGTTAAACTATTAGATGCTGGGATCATTTATTCAATATCTGATAGCACATGGGTGAGTCCAGTACATGTTGTGCCAAAGAAAGGAGGAATAACAGTAATGACTAATGAAGCTAACGAGTTGATCCCAACAAGAACAGTGATCGGGTGGTGTGTTTGTATTGACTATCGAAAACTTAATGATGCTACATGCATGGATCATTTCCCGCTACCATTCATCGATCAAATGCTCGAGATGTTATCCGGTCATCTTTATTATTGTTTCCTTGATGGCTTCTCGGGGTACTTTCAAATCCCAATTTACCCACAAGATCAAGAGAAGACCACTATTACATGTCCAAGTGGAACATTCGCATATAGACGCATGCCTTTTGGGTTATGCAATGCACCAGCTACTTTCCAAAGGTGTATGATGGCTAACTTTCACGACATGATCGAGAAATTTACGGAGGTTTTTATGGATGACTTCTCGGTTTTTGGGTCATCTTTTAAACATTGTTTGTCCAACTTGGATCTAATGCTAGAAAGATGTGAGAAGACTAACCTTGTTCTTAATTGGGAGAAGTGTCATTTCATGGTGAAGGAAGGAATTGTGCTAGGACACAAGGTCTCAAGAATGGGGATTGAGGTAGATAGAGCAAAAGTTGACACGATAGAAAAGTTACCACCTCCAACTAATGTAAAAGGAGTGAGAAGCTTTTTAGGGCATGCAGGATTTTACCGGCGTTTTATTAAAGACTTTTCGAAGATCACAAGGCCCTTGACTCAACTTTTTTTTAAGGATGCCCCATTTGACTTTTCTAAAGAATGTCTTAATGCATTTCACTTGTTGAAGGAAAAGTTAACAACTACACCTATTATGATAGCCCTAAATTGGAGTCTTCCTTTTGAGCTTATGTGTAATGCTAGTGATTATGTGCTGGGAGATGTTTTGGGACAAAGAGTTGACAAGCAGTTTCAGCCGATCTACTATGCAAGCAAGACCTTGAACCAAAACAAGAGAACTACACCACTACCGAGAAGGAGCTACTAGCGGTGGTTTATGCATTCAATAAATTCCGTCCATATTTGGTTTTGCCAAAGACAATAGTTTTTACCGACCATTCTGCCCTTTAGTTTCTTTTTGCTAAACAAGATGCTAAACCAAGGTTGATACGTTGGGTGTTGCTGCTACAAGAATTTGACATTGCAATAAGAGATAAAAAGGGGATGGAAAACGTGGTTGCCGATCATTTATCAAGGTTGGAAATCCCGCACTTGGAAAAGTTAGAAGAAAACAAGATTGGAGATGAATTTCCCGAAGAATATCTATTGGTTACAGCAGGAGAGGCTCCATGGTATGCAGATATAGCTAATTATTTAGTAAGTGAGTATATTCCAAAAGACTTGACCCGCCAACAAAAGAAGAAATTCTTTTCAGAAATTAAGTATTACTTTTGGGATGAGCCATACCTTTTTCGGAGCTGTGCTGATGGTATGATAAGAAGATGTGTGTTCGGGAAGGAAAGTCGGGAAATCTTGAAGCATTGTCATAGCGGGCCCACCGGAGGACATCATGGAGCGCAATATACGGCTAAGAAGGTTTTTGATACGGGTTTTTATTGGACTACTATTTTTAAAGATACTACTAAATTTGTTAAGGAATGTGATTCATGCCAAAGGTCGGGAAACATTTCATCACGAAACGAGATGCCCCAAAATAGCATTCAAGTATGTGAGATATTTGATATTTGGGGGATCGACTTCATGGGACCTTTTCCAATGTCAAAGGGTAATAAATACATATTGGTGGCAGTCGATTATGTATCCAAGTGGGCAGAAGCACAAGCATTGCCTACTAATGATGCTCGAGTGGTGGTATGTTTCCTTAAGAAGCTATTTTCAAGGTTTGGAGTTCCTAAGGCTCTAATTAGTGATCGAGGCACCCACTTCGCAAATGATCAATTGACTAAGGTATTATAAAAGTATGGTGTCCACCACAGATTCTCAACATCTTATCATCCTCAAACGAGTGGGCAAACTGAAGTTACAAACCGGACATTGAAGAGAATATTAGAAAGATCGGTTGGAAGCAATAGAAAGGAGTGGTCGGACAAGCTTGATGATGCACTTTGGGCATTTCAAACAACCTTCAATACACCTATTAGTACTACACCGTATAGGTTGGTTTATGGGAAGAGTTGTCACTTACCAGTTGAAATAGAGCATAAAGCATTTTGGGCTTTGAAGATATGTAATTTTGAGCTAGCTGAACTTCGTGCCAACCGGTTGATGCAAATGAATGCCCTTGAAGAACTTAGAAACGAAGCATACACAAGTTCCTTGATTTATAAAGACAAGACTAAGAAATGGCATGATATGAGGCTTAAAGGTAATAAAGACTTTCATGAAGTACAAAAGGTGTTGCTTTTCAATTCAAGGTTGAAAGTTTTTCCGGGTAAATTGCAAACAAGGTGGGACGGGCCATTTGTTGTTAAACAAGTTTTCCCACATGGATCTATTGAGCTTATATCAAGAGATGGAACCCCTTTCAAGGTTAATGGCCATCGAGTGAAGCATTATGAGGAAGGAATGCCTAGTGAAGAAAGAGAGGGTGAAATCGTCAAATTCACACGAACTGAAACAACGTAAAGCGGGAAGGAGTCCGGCTCATGACTCCTCAAAAAGAAGCGCTTGCAGGAGGCAACCTGTGGTTTTGAGTTTGCATTTTCTTTCCTTGTCTTTTATTTCATTTTTATTAGTTTTTGCTTTATTTAGGTTTTTAGTCTCTCATTCTTTTGATTTGTTATGGAGTTTTAACGTGGGGAATGGCATAGAATGAGTGTGGGGTGATTATTTTTAAGAATTTGATAATTAATAATGATTTGTTACCCACCACAACGTGGTGAAAACCACCACGAGGTGGTGATTTTCCAGAACACGAGAAAATCGAGATCAATTGAGTCACCACGACGTGGTTACTCTAACACATTGTGGCAACGGAAATTACTGCTGTCATTTAGGGTTTTTAAACTTAAGTCAAAACAATTTCACTTTTTACACCACCCCATCTCTCTCGTCGTGCCAGCCTCCACGAAGAAACCCTCTTTCTCTTCATCAGTTTCTTGTTTTTCTTCCCTAAAAGGTATGATTTTCTAGTGTTTTGTTTACTTTTGATGGTTTAGTGAGGTAGTATGGAGCATCTATTTCCTGATTAGAACACTTTTAGGGCTAATTTTGGGAGCCTAGGGTTCCGATTGTTGCAAAAATCGGACCAATTTTTGGATGTTTTGACCCTTGATTTCGGCATCATTCTATTACATTTTATGCCTAGAACAAACCCTGAACTTGGATTGACTTGATATGGTGTTGAATCTGGTGCGATTTATCCAAGGTCACGAACAAGTCATCGATCATGATGACTCGTCGTGGTCCTCGTCGTGGTAAAGTTTTTCACATTCTTTTCAATTTTGTTTTAATTATACTGATGCACATGGTTTCTTGTGTGGTCTTTATGGTTATTTTGCAGACATGGCTAACAGGTCTAGGCGAAACCAAGCTGGAAGTCATTCCGAATTTCCATGGTACACTTTTCCACGCAACGTAGGGCCCAAGATTTATGCGAAATGGAATGCCAAACTCGATTCACTGAAGCAACGAAAGGTGCATGTTCCTGCGGTTGTGAATTGGCAGTGGTTTAGCGAAACCGGATTGTTAGAAGCACTGGATCCGTATCTTCATAAGATGTTTGAAAGCATTCATGGACCATTTGTTTGTATGGGATGGAGAAGGATTTTTCAGATTCAAGAGACTGTTTACAAGGAGTTAGTGGTGGAATTCTTATCTACTGTTTCATTCGCAAGGAAAGCTGGTATTTATGCGGATGACAATTTGACTTTCTGCCTTGGTGGTGAGAGGAGATCACTGACCCTTGCTGATTTTTCCCTCAGAATAGGGATTTATCTTCCATCTGAAGTTCATTCAGAATCTTACCAGCAGTATATTGCGAATTGTGTGAGAGATGTCGAGGGGTTCAAGGCTGAAGAGCATTGATATACTATAGCTAATGGTGCATATTTGAAAGCGACAGCGCAAGAGAGCGATATCAGGTCTCCTATTCATCACTTACTTCACAGACTTATCACTAACACAGTGAATAAGTGCCAAGAGGGGGACAAATGTCCCACTATTGATGTTTTCTTCCTTTGGGCACTTACTTCACCTGGTGCCCGTGTGGATTTACCTTTTCTTTTGGCGGAATTTCTTGCAGTAAGAGTGGCTAAGGATCGACGTGGCTCCCCTTTGTGTGGTGGCATGCTTATTACTCGTCTCGCAAATTCCTTTGGAGTATTTCAAAAACGCGAAGCTGTGATGTTGACTGTGGAAGCACAAAAGCCGTTTTCTGTCCTTCTTTACAAGCGTGCAAATATCGTTGTTGATCATGGCTTTGGAAATTTTGGCATTCCGGATGATACTCCCCGCCAGCGAGTTCCAAGCCGAGGCAGGCAGCGGGGTAGGGCAGCTGGAGAGGACGAGCCACGGGTAGTACTCGAGGATGAAGAAATGCACATGGACCCATATAGTATTGCTAGGCGAATGTTTGAAGATAACTTGGCAAGGACTAGCAATTATACCAACATGGGTATCGACTATCTTATGGAGCAGATGCATTTTGCCCGGCCCCCTAATTTTCCTCCTACATACCCTTACGTGCCAACTTGGGACGAATTTTGGAGGGAGCAACAAGGTGGAGCTGGTGGAAGTGGTGGTGGAGGAGATGATGAAGAAGAATGAGAATTTATCCTTTTTATGGTTTTTAGACGTGTTTTTATTATGGTTTTATTTTATTTTGTTTTGTACTTGAAAAACTTATGTGTTTGTTTTGGTTGCTTGGACAATGTTTCCTAATTGTATTACCTTTTTCCTTGTCTTAGTTCCAAGTACTATTCTAGAGTCCAAGTAAGGGTATATTTGGCAAAAGAGAGTTCGTTATCGTAAAAGTTTAGAGAACGTTGAGAGAAGCGAGATTAGAGAATATTTTTCGGGTCTTTACTTGAGTCATAGAGAGAAGGGTCATGTCTTAGAGCTTTATACAAGAGATGGAGTCACAGATAGTTCGCGTTTCAGTACGTTTTAGCATCAGATTTTGAGTTTTTAGGACTGCCACGACGTGGCACTTTCCAACACGCCGTGTTGTCGCATGAAAAAAATACAAAAAATCGTTATGTTTGGTCCAACACGTCGTCGTAATATCTACCACGACGTGGTGCTTTTCGAGTCATTTTTCAAGCCAATTCTCGTATTTCTAGTAGCCAACGTGTTCCAGAATGGCATACATACATTCTCATGGTATGGTTGAGCTGTTCCCATACCATAGAATTTTATTTTCAAGCCTCAATAAAGAATTGTACCAAGGAGACTGCTATTCTCTTTTCCACTTCTGTGTCCACACGTTCGAGCGATTTAGAAGTCTTTTCCATGAATCGAGTCACATCTTCTATCCCAGGGGAGTCTGTTCCTTTTTCTCCCTCTTTTTAAGTTTATATTTTGCCTATCATGCAATGAGGGCATTGCATGAAATAAGTGTGGGGTAGGGGGTATATAGCATGACGAAAAGCATTTGATTTTAAAATTTTAGTTTCTAAATAGTCTAACTTAGGAAACTTAGCTAATTAAAATTTTTGCTAGTATGGTATTAGATGATCCGATGAGAACCCAAATGTTTACTTGAGCCAACACATGTTGTAGTGTATTTGTGGCTTCCCATTTCCTAGTGAAAGGCCATGAAGTATGAAAGGTAATCATGGGGATCTTCGGGCTCTCCGGGGCTTGCTTACGATGCTAGGAAGGTATTCTAGGCTTGGGGGGGTTTTAGTGTAGTTTAGAAGAGAGAAAAAGGGTGAAAGATGAAAATTTGTAAACAAAATCGGGATGCCTCGCACTTCTATTTATAGTGTCTGAAGCATCTAATTACGATGGGCGTAATTTCTGGTACGCGGGGCGTACTGCCTCTCAAAGCTCTCCGTTGGGCGTAACTTCGTACGGTGGGTGTACGAAGGGATTAGCTCGGACGTGTCAAGGCTACGACATGTTTCCATCATGCAAAGGAGTAAGGGGGTGACTGACTCCAGATCACGTACACGAGTACGCTGGGCGTACTTCTGTACGCTGGGCGTAATCCTTCGGACCAGCCTCGAAGCTTGTGTCTAAAACTTCAAAAATTCATAACTTTTGTATACGAACTCCGGTTTTGACGTTCTTTATATCCACGCGTAGGTGAGACCGTGCTCTACAACTTACGTTTATACTCCGTTCGCTAGTTTTGAATTTATTTTTAAAGTTATATTTTAACAAGCCGTGACAAGAAAAGTCTGTTAAAAATTCATAACTTCTTCATCTGACGTCCGTTTTCGTCTGTCTTTTTACCGTTGAACTACTATCAACAAGATATTCGATCCCCGTTTAGGTTGTTTCGGCTAAAAATCATTCGATCTAAAATTCGAGTTTCGGGATGCATACTGCTATGCCAAATTTTAGAAAATTCATAACTTCCTCATACAAAGTCAGATTTGGACATTCTTTTTATTCACGCTGATATGTGCATATTTATACACATATTTATACAACATATTTTAATATTTTAATCACTTTTATGCCTTTATTAGATCAAAAGATACTTAATTTTCTATGAATCGTGTTGTAGGTACCTAAAGACATGTTTGGAGCGAAAAGGAAGCTGGAAGCTGGATTAAGGAAGCTTGGAGTTGAAAGTTTGGATCAAAGCTCTAAAATGAAGAAAAATATGCCCAACACATCGTGGTGAGACCACCACGACGTGGAAACTTGAAGAATCTCGATCAGCTTAGAAGACTTGGAGAATACAGGATAAGCACGATAACCACGACGTGGTGGACACACCACAACGTGGTGCCCTGATTTCGGGAAAAGTATAAATGGATCACTCAAACCTCCGAATGGGGACTTTTGGCTCTGGAGATTTCGATACTTTTTGAGGCAAAACACTGGAATTTAAGCTTGGAAGCAAGGATTTCAATCACATCCATTAGAAGGAAGAGCATTAAGGCAATTGAACTTACACTTCGATTTTTCTTTGATTTAGCCATGTCTAACATCTTGAATTTAGTATTTGTGATTTTATTTGCTGAAATCATGAGCTAAACACTCATGACTTTCGTTTAGCTTAGGATGAGTTGAATATTGCTAGTTGATTTTATGGTTTGGATTTAGTTATTTAGTTATTTATTGATTTAGCTTATTAAAGAACCTCAAGTACTTTTGATAATTGCTTTCCTCAACTTATAGCTGAATCTGATTAAGTTAGTATGACTATCTCTCTTAATTAGATTTGAATCTTATAATCTTGTGAATTGCAAAATTGTAGGACTAGAGTTTTGAATAAAACCTAGGGTTAAGTAGAAAAGTGGGTAAAAGAGTATAGGAGCTAATATATGACGAAAAATCATATATGAAATTGAATCAACAAACTAAATTGGTAAATTAATTATAAGTCTTATCAATTCGAACTGAACACTAGTAAGCTGGTAAGTTTTTCCGCCTGATCACCGAATAAATAAGCTAGTTTGCTAAAGGATTAAATTAGTGAATACTACTTTGGTCATCTTAGGAATCGGTAACTAAAGAAACTAAATCCATTGCACTTCCATAAATCAATTACAATAACAACGAATCCGAAGCTAAACGAAAGTCTCTTTCTCACCTTGGTACATTCGTACTTGTCTACTTGCTTAGTTTTAGTGTTAGTTTGATTAAGTGAATTTTGAGTTAGTTGGTAATTAAGTATCTAGTCTTGCAAAACTAGGAAAACATATACCTTTTCTCATTTGATTAATAGTTAGTTAAATACTAAAATAAAGTAATTTAAACACCGTTCCTTATGTTCGACACTCATTCTTACCATTGCTATACTATTGCACGATTAGGTACAGTGACTAGTGTGTTTAATAGTCTAGCGAAGGGAATAACTTTTTATAAATTAACTTGGATAAAATATAAGCACATTAAACTCACATCAAGTTTTTGGCGCCGTTGTCGGGGAACGGTTTAGTTTTAGTTACTTTATATTCCTATTTTTAGGAATATTTTCTGTTAGAATTTAGTTTTTAATTTTGATTTTTAGGATTTTCATATTTTAGATTCACCACGTCGTGGTATCTTCTACCACGTTGTGGTATCGCTACAGTAGGAATTTAATTTTTCGTTTTTTGTTCTTTTACTTGTTTCCTTGTTTTAATTGCAGTACGTTTATGACCAGAGGAGGAGGCACACCTTTGATTTCACCACTTGAAGACCCGGAAGCAACTTTAAGGAAAAGCAAAGGCAATACCGTAGTCGAAACCGCAACATCGAAAAATTCACTGTTGAAGAACCTCAAATCTGTTTTCAGCAAGAAAAAGGACAATAGAGAAGGAGAATTCAGCATCTCTTCATTGGCGGACGAAGACCCAAAGAAGGAGGAGACCAAGTGCGGTACCGAAGGTCGGGGAAGGCACTTCAGGTATATCTATTTTCTTGATTGAAATGGGAACATTTACTTTTACATCTAACACTTGGGTATTAGTTAATGGTTGTGGAACATAGATATGTAATTCATTGCAAGGTTTCAAAAAGAGTAAGGAACAAAAGGCTGGTGATATGTTACTACAGTCGGCAATGGACCAAGGGTTACCTTCCAAGCGATAGGATATTTTGTATGGTGTTTACCAAATGATCTGTACTTAATGTTGAAAAATGTATGTTTGATTCCAAATTTATCAAGAAATATTATTTCATTTTCCTATTTAAAGAAATTTGGTTTATAATTATAAATTTCTCAATGATAATATTCACTCCTTTTTAATGGAATATTCTATTTTGAGGCTAGACCTATAAATGAAAATTTTGAATTAAACCTTGATTATTGTTCAAACAATAGTTCCATTGGAAACCAAAAGGATCAAACAAGATTTGAAGCAAACCTATTTATTAAATTTCCGTCTTGATCACATAAACAAGAATTGTATACCCCAACTCTA